TCCCTTGAAATTCCCATCTGCTTGTGACCCAAGAGCACTCGTATCAATGTGGCGTAGTGGCTAACGCGTCGAGATCATACGCTAAGCTGTCATTGTTAGAGTCTCACTGGGGTGTTGATAAGACTTAGGCGAGGTCGAAATTGTACTCTACAATGGATGAGAGCACCTTTTGGGAAGACAAGGATATGTGAAATCCTATGGAAACGTCAGCTCTACTCATATCATTGAGGGAAAATTCTAACACTAATCTTTCATCACTTTAAACTAAATAGGGTGAACACAATTCGTATATCTGATTTACTGGTAGTCCCGAAAGCCTACTCAAAAAACGAGATAAGTTCAGTCTTCCCAAGTCTGTCTAATAAAATCATTTAAATAACTCTAACTTATGTGCTACATGATGTATTGTTTCAACCTACCTACCCACACTACCGCTTAATTCACTTTCTAATTTCTTATTCAACCATTTCAGTACAAATGGGGTGTATACAGAATTAACTAATAAAACCCTTATTTTATTGATTCTAATAAGAGGCAATGTGTCTACCAGTATGGCTACTGAGAATTATGCACATGATAGTCTCAGAGGCCTATTCAACAAATGAAGAAAGTAATGTCGCCGATTGTTATAGTAAATATAAGTTTACTTCAACGACTTTATTTTGGCATTTTAATATAAACATTTTCCCACATAGTCTTCTACATAGATAGCCTCCGAAGTGTGCTTCCTATATGACTAACAAAAGACTAACGTATTTGCCCGTATGTCCAACGCCCAACCAGTAGAGTCGGTATGCTTTCTCTACGCCGGGTTTCAACATACTAGTTTTCATATTGTGCACGAGTGCTGCACATAAACAGGAGACTTAAATTCTAACCGATAGCTAAGTTAACCTAGTCGACAGTTTACCACAATGGTTCACTTATCATCAGATTTCCACGCCCTGATCTCATTTCCTGACCTGCCAGTTTAAATGAGTGCTTAGTTTGGTAGCTTCTCTTAACAAAATCGCTTGACATAAGAAAGAACGTATTATAAAAATGACGTCAAACGGTTACAATGAGCTGTTCTTAATTTATAAATTTAATTGTTAATGGGCCCTCATTTGCTGTTCTACTGTCAGGTTTTCGATTAGATCTAGGCAACTTTCCTGTGATGAATCAGACTCTCTTAAATGATTACTTATATTATACAGTGGATTATTATAACGTGTGAATCAGCCGAGTGGATCACTTAAGTTATCTAGTATTGTCCCGGAGTTCGTTATTTTTAGGTTCTAAGTCCATCCTGATCTGATGCGCTGGAGGAGGAGCTTTATCTGCAAGCAGAGAGATTGCATACTTTCAAGCTTTTTCACCACGGCTTTTTTAGCTCGTCCCTCTGCAATCAAGATGGTCCACACACTTTGCAAGTGATATTAATGCTGACTTTGCTATAAAATTTTGATAATTTATTATCAACGAGGTGGAGATGCCTTTCCCTCATAAAAAATTTCACTCAAAAATACCATCACTCTCGTTAAACTCTGGCTTTCTGAGTGGGGCAAAAACCTATAAATGAGAATTTAATAATTATATTTCTTTTTGCCTTGAGTCGCCTCTCAAAAGGGTTGCCCTGCAACTTTTCTCGCATATAAATTCAAGCATACTCTTTGTTTCTAGTTTCACAAACGGGATTTTGGAACTACCAGCAGATCTGAGATAGGAGCTGTATTAGCCCTATCTGGCTTAAGGTGATGTTAAGTTGGCTGTTCTTCTACTTGCAAAACTAAAATGAGTATTGTAGTCAATACTGCCAAAGCAAATACATTTTGCTTCATCGACAATCCCAACATAGAAATGTGATATGGAAAGGCCATAGGCTTCCGTCAAATTTACTTCTGCCTCGTGATACAAGTGCACTCGGGACAATATGACGTGGTAGTTAACATGTCGATACATTGCTCTACACTTCCCAGATTAGAGTCCCTCAGGGTGCACTGCTGAAACCCAGACGAGGTTTAAACTCCAGTCTTCACTCCCATTTGGATAGGACTAGCTTTTGGAAATGCAAGACAGTGTGAAAGCCTACTCAAATGATTGAGGTAAAATTCAGCTACCAGTACTTCAACCCAGTTGAAAAGATTGCCTTAAGTTCAGGGAATAACTATCGCCCACTCTGTCACATTATCGGCACCTCAGGCTGGCGATTGCTTTGTTTTGTAACACATTTTTGGGTGACAGCCAAAAGGTGGTACATATTGAATGAGAGGACACTGAATTTTCCTTGCTTTCTGAAAGGCTTCCTCCTCCAGGCTGAACTGTACTTCCGACCTCGGCCTGTCTCTAAAAGAGTCCCTAAAAGCACCCGAAACCGGGCCGTGCTCGTCAAGCCGCTACCACTACGCCATACAGGGCAGATGATAATTTTAAATCAAGCCAGGTCCCTCTCGTTGCAAAGTTTCAGTATTGTAGATACGAAGAAAAACTTGGTTTCGATGAATCTCCTGAGATAACATTGTTAGGGGGACCTTGATTTCGAATGAAAGTGCACGAATAAGAGATTCGTTTGTCGATCTCACCAGATGAGGACGGATGAAAATCCTTGTACTGCAGCCGTTTAGCTTTTATATTATATTCATGTTGACGTAGTCCACGAGTATTCCTCCCTCGTTTCGGGTGAAAACGTGCTGAGCTTTCGTCCATCATATCATGGACATCATCAGAGCTTGTTTCATTCTTGTAAGAGTCTCACGTTAACACTAAGGCAAGAACACTATCCGGCTTCATCTTACTTCTTATATGGACTCAGTCGAGTCAATAGATTAAAAATTACGAATCTAGACAAATCGATATAGAGTGGTTTGGTTCATTTTCTTTCATACTCGTTCTGTTATTTTTGCTCGATTGTATGAGAATGCATATTTGCGTGTGTTAGCGTCTACTGACGGCTTTGAGATCTAGTTATTCGACACTTGCTAGGTTAGTTTAGTTCTAGTTCTGGTGATCCAACACCTTCGAGGTTTGCTCGTACCCGAAACACGTCCTTCATTCAGCATCGGCAAAAACGTCCTCATCGCTTGAAGATATTTGCTTATTTCACGAACGAAAGCTAGGCTGGTGTCTGCGCGATGCATTACTATTTTGGTAGCTACTGGACGCAAATGTCGTTTTACCATTTAGAAGGGTCATAAATCAGTATACTTGGACATTCATTCTGGCCTAAATAAACGGTTATAGCAAAAAGCCCGTAAGCCCTAGGGCATGGAGCGTTGTTCACCGCTTTCGGTTGAGACAAACTTTTCTTGGATGATAGGATTTATTTGCTAGCCTACATTGGCAACACAGCAAACGTGCTTTTTAAACGCCTATCCTTCACGGTTTGCCAAAACATCTGACCTCCTGACCAATAAAAGGCTTTCCCAATATCGCTTTTCCTCATGTGCTTGAGCGTGCCATTTACGCATGTGCTGACGTGGATCGATCGGTAGCCGACTGTCTGGCCCCTACCCAACGACTTAGGAGCCACTTGATTCCGTGGCGGGGGTCAATGGCTTTCGCTTGTGCCTCAGTTGAACATGTCATTTGGGCCAATCCGGATTTTGCATTTAGGCGAATCGGCCTACTCTGCTCCAGGTGAGCTGGCTGTCGTAGAGATAAGTTTTGGTATTCCAGCAAATACGGTAAAAAGACCTGAGCATGTGCCAGTCCATACCGACATATGAGTTGGTATATTTGTTGTCGTGCACGCGTGCACACACAAGCCCATATAGCGTTGGTTAGTAATAACTCACTGGACAGACCAGTTGAGTGCCATATATACGGAGCAATAGAGCAAGAGGGTAGTCCGAGCTCCGCACGGGTGTACAGAAGGACGGCCAGGCAGCTCGACAAGCGTTGTACACGTTGGGAAATAAATTTAAGCCCTTGCGGGAGGAGGCCAAACAGAAATTCCGTCTTGTCATGCGATGTGGCGCAGGTTGCACGGTAAGTTCACTGTTCTCGCCGGAAGTTCATGTCGACCAAGTAAGTCTGCTTTTTAGCTCCGGTCTCAGCCTCGTAGGCCGTTGAGGAACTTGCAAGGTTGTTTTCCCTTTTCGAGAAGAGTCTAAAATGCTGAAGATATGGGCAGTGTTTGGAGATCAAGTCTTGGCTCAAGAGGAGCATTCAAGCTGGAGCTTCAGGAGTTCTCAGTAAAACTGTGTCTAGTGCCTTAGCCGCCTTATCAGTTCCTTTAGCAGCGAAAATCAACCAGCTAGCCGGTGCGGTGTGTGATACCATTGCACGTGTTCAAGTCTGGCCAAATATCGATGTTCGTTGTTGGAGAAACTGAACAGGAGCACAGTAAATCATCTGACACAGCTCCAAGCGTAACTGTTGCCCAGAGCAAGCGACAGACATTTCATAAAAATTAAGTCACTGCATATTTAGTATACCATATTGCATGTCTTTGGAGGAGTTGTTTTA